GTCAGCCACCACGTTAGCTTTTCCTGGGTGGTAAAGAATTTCACAATCATAATCATTAACCAGCTCAATCCACCGACGCTGTCGCATATTTAATTCTTTATGACTGAACAAATGTTGTAAACTTTTATGGTCAGTATAAATCTGACATTTTGTTCCCAGAAGATAGTGTCTCCAGATTTTCAGAGCAAATACCACTGTAGCTAATTCCATGTCATGGGTTGAATACTATTTCTCATGATCTTTCAATTGTCTTGACGCATAAGAAATCACCTTTCCTCTCTGCATCAGAACACATCCTAAACCTAATTTTGAGGCATCACTATAAATCACAAAGTCTTCAGATCCATCTAGTAAAGTCAATACTGGTGTGCTACAAAGATGATCTTTTAACAGTTGAAAAGCTTCTGGCTGTTCTCTTTCCCACTGGAATTTAATGTTCTTTCGAGTCAATTTAGTCAATGGCACGGCTATTTTAGAAAAGTTCTGAATGAACTTACGGTAATAACCAGCCAATCCCAAAAAGCTTCGAACCTCGGAAGGATTTTTCGGAGCTTCCCATCTTGCAACTGCTTCTATTTTCACTGGATCAACTTTTATTCCTGATTCTGAGATGACGTGACCCAGAAATTGAACTTCTCTTAACCAGAACTCACACTTCGACAATTTAGCATACAACTTTTCTCTTTTCAACAATTCCAGTATCAGACGAARATGTTTTGCATGTTCTTCTTCAGTCTTAGAGTATATAAGAATATCATCGATAAATACAATAACGAATTTATCAATATATTCCTTACATACCCTATTCATCAAATCCATAAAGGCTGCGGGCGCATTAGTTAAACCAAATGGCATAACTAATAATTTGTGATGCCCGTACCTTGTTCTGAATGCTGTTGTGGCAACATCTTCTTCCCTGACCTTGAGCTGATGATACCATGATCTTAAATCAATCTTGGAGAAATACCTTCCTCCCACCAATTGGTCGAACAAGTCATCAATCCTCGGTAAAGGATACTTGTTTTTTATTGTGAACTTATTCAGTTCACGATAGTCTATACACATTCGCATAGACCCATCCTTCTTTTTGACAAATAGGACCGGAGCACCCCAAGGTGAAGTGTTGGGCTTAATAAATCCTTTATCAGATAAATCTTTCAACTGTGCAACCAGTTATTTCAACTCAGATGGAGCTAAATGGTACGACGCCTTTGGTACTGGTGCAGCCCCTGGTACTAAATCAATTCGGAACTCAATGACTCTATCTGGTGGTAATCCAGATAAGTCTTCTGGAAAGGCTTCTGAATAATCACTAACAATCGGAATTGATTCTTTTTTTCCCTTTTCTTTCTTCAGATCAATTACATATGCCAAACATCCTTGGCACTTCTTCCGAATACTTTTCTGGGCTTTCATTACTGACAAAATACTGGTATGGTGATTCTGACGATCACCATAAATAACAATTGTCCCTTGGTCTGGCAGAATAATTTTGATCATTTTCTGATTAAAAACAATACTAGCCTGATACTTTGCCAACCAGTCCATACCCACTACTACATCAAATTGTTTCATTGGCATGGGAAATAACTGGATCGAAAGTTCACAGTCCCCAATAACAATAATACAGTTATTGAACACGCTAGTAACAGTTTCCTGACTATTAGCAGTATCAACTACTAACTCATCATCAAGTAGCACAAAATTCAAACATGCAATTTGAGCAAACAATGGTGATACAAACAAAAAGTTTGCACCAGAGTCAAATAACACCTTAGCACGTATTGAATTCAGAAGGAATGTACCTGTTACTACATCCGGTGATGCTTCTGCCTCGTTCTTAGTCATTTGGAAAGACCGTCCCCGCACCCCTCCTTGCCCTCCTCTGTTCATAGTAGGCCTTCCCCGAGTACCCGACGCGTTACTCCCCATTGTTAACTGTGGAGTTCTTAACAAGGGACAATTCGGTCGAATATGATCCAGATAATTGCAATTAAAACATCTTCTGTTAGCTGGGCAGTTTTTAGACAGATGACCTGCTTCGCCGCACTTATAACATTTCCTTGGGTCCATCTTGCATTCACCCAGATGAACCTGTCGGCATTGTGAACAGACTTTCTCACTGCTCTTCTGCTCAGATCTGTTATCATATCTTACAGTTTTTCGGCCCTCGAAAAGATAAAGGCCCTTCCCATTTTCTCTTCTCTACAACCTTTCCTTCTGGCTGTCGGTTTTTATTTCGTTCAGTCACTTCAGCCGCATCTACCGTTAACAAAAAGGTATTGGGGTTCATAGCAATAACAAACTCTCTGATTGAGGGTTTCAAACTCCGAATATACCTTTCTATCTTCCTGGGTTCGGTTGAGACATAGTGCTYGGCAAATCGAGAGTATTCAATGAATTTCTTGGTATACTCTCGAACTGTTCCATTTCTTTGTTCTAATTTCAGGATATCTTCCTCCATTTGTTTCACTGCTGTTTTAGGGCAAAATTGATTCTTGAATCGTTCCACAAATTCTACCCATGACAAAGTCTGTAAAACATCTGTTCTGGCTGATGATTCAACTTCCCACCAGAATAAAACATTTGATTTTAATACCGAAATAGTAAATCGCACTTTATCTGTTTCCGGGCACCGAATGGTGTTGAACACAGATTCCATCTCCTTGATCCAGCACATAGCTTTCACTGGATCACTTTCCCCAGAAAAGGTTGGTGGTTTGCATGCCAAAAACATCTTAATGTCTCCTTCCTTGTTGTGGGTGACTGGAATAGAGGAATGAACTTCCACTCTTTCTGTTTCCACCCTGGCTGGTAATCCAATAATAGAAGTCAGAGTTTCCCTCAATTTCCCCATTTCTTCTACCAACATGTCCCTAGTTACATATTCAAGGTGTGGCACTGATCTCTCCTGATCATTCCCAGAATGGGATTCTTCAGGTTAAGAATGAACTTCAGTATGACCCTTCCCTTGAGACTGATTTCTTCCTCTACCTCGTCCCCTTAGTCTTCCCCGACCTATATTTCTGGACGTGCTAGTTGGAAGATTAGCAGGTGACTCTTCCCTTTCTTCAGACTTTGGACGAGTCGTTCTTTCAGATCTTCTAGTTCGGCTAGACATCTGTAGAGTTTAGTATTAATAATCACGTATTCACATTCCCAAGTATAATGAAGTATTCAAGTTCAGATGTGTACCTGTAAATTCATAATTATATTGGCCAGATATAATTAAAATTTACCTTACACATTGTTCTTTCAACCCATCATATTTATTTCCAATGGTGCTAACTACGTCCGGGACCCTTAACATGCAATGGAACAGTTTAAGTCTAGGTATCATGTTCTTAAATACCTAAATCCCTGAAACTCAGGCTCTGATACCACTTTCTGTAAAGTCCCAAACCACACATTGCATGTAACACATATTTCATACAAAAGAAATACATGACATTATCCCATTCAGGTTCCTTAGTACAAGAATATATTATAACCAAATACAAGGTCCAAAAATTCAAATACATTTCTTGTACTATTCAATCAAAACTATACATCAAGATAGATCTTCATGCAGAAATGCATATAGGAAAATATTATATTTTCCCCTTTCCCTTACCATCCGTACCTCCTGCAATACATAATTAAAATCACAAAACGAGGATTAGACCGAAAGGTCTAGTGAGATACCCTATTAATGTTATTGCAGGGTGAAAATACCAAAATCTTTTATGGAAAACAACATTTCATATATATAACAAATATATGTACAAATAGGAACATACTACCAAATCCTTTCCACTTTTCAAGCAAAACATTCAGCTATAAAAAATTTCATACCTCTGAACCAATCAGGTTTCACATAATACCACTTTTAAACCTTTTCTAATCAAACAAGGTTTATATAAATTTTCAGGCCATACCTGAGGTTTTCTCCTCAATAACATCCAGACTATGATTACCAATAAGAACCTTGATCCTAAATATTTAAATCACAAAGAAATAAAGATTCTAGATCACGGTAGTCTTAAGGGATATAATAGAAAGAGTTATATCATACAACACACATATAAATGTCACCCTTATATCAAATGTACACCTCTCTTTGATATGCCACCCTTATCCCATGGTACACATCTCCTTGATATGCCACCCTTATCCCATGGTACACCTCTCCTTGATATGCCACTCTTATTTCCTCATAAAAAAATTTCATAAAACAATTCCAAATAGACCGCAGCCAATGGAATTATTATTAATCCAAAATCATTTATATCAAACCTTCATTTTATGATAAAATAACATTTTTTATCAATCAGGCACAAGGCATAAAACAAATCCGGTCAACCTAGGCTTGGCCGGACTTCATCTCCAGTCAAATCTTAGCCGGTTTACCAAATCCGGACAACTTATCACCCAAGCCCTGTCCGATTTAACACTTGGAATAATTCCAACAACTTTGTCCAGATAAAGAGTCCGGACAATACATCGCCCAAAGCTCAACCGATTTAAAATAACCGGTCACCATATGGTCGTATTCATACTTAGTTCAAAAAGATAACCAATCTTAATCCGCTTGACACATAACCGGTTTAAGGTTAAACCGTTCAACACCTGAGCGATTTAAGACTTAATCGCCCAACACTTAGAATAAATTTCAACAACTTTGTCTGGATAAAAGTCCGGACAATACATCGTCCAAAGCTTGATCGATTTACAAATAATCCGGACAAGCTTTGTCCGATTAAAACTTAATCCGAACAGCCTTTACCCGGATAAAAACCCTTGAACAAATAACTGATTTMTTTMTAATGATAAAKAACATTCAAATAAAACCAGTAACAAATTTTATGCATAAAGGTTTAGAAATCACTCACCTCAAATCTTTTGAAACCAAACACTTGAAATCAACTTGATCTTGAAATCCGGTCAAGAACAATCCGATCAATCTTCTTTTTCAACTCTCACTGTTTTTTCTTTCAAAATAGCCAAAAGGTTTATTTGAAACCCTCGCTACCTATTTATACCCTTTTCTATACAATGAAAGGTGGTTTAGCAGCCCTTTATTATACATGCCTCCCCATGCATGAATACATAACTTTTCTTGCATATGAATACATACAAACTCATGTATACATCCAATTATTCATATAATTAATTATGCACATATGCATAATTTAATACATGCTTTTACTTAAGCATACTCACATACAAACATGCATATAATTCTTATGCATAGAATTCACATATTTGTTGCATACTTATTTATGCACATAATTTCCATACACTAGCATGATCAAATAAAACAAATTTATCATGCTATCACGTAATCATTTAATCAGATAATCACGTAAAAAATATCTTGGGTGATAACCAAGATCCAGTTATCACATCTGATAAGGATGTCCCTGTGCCGCCTCCACCTGCTACCGAAGAAAGCAGTGAAAATGCCGAAGAAGGAAACATCGATGAAGAAAAACCAGAGATAAAGCTGGAGACAGCCCCTAGAGATTATCGTTTTTCGACTACAAATCGAAGCAGGCACTGCTTTACCAGATACGTTGAGTACCATCGGTGTGTGGGTGCAAAGGGAGAAGATGCTTCTGAATGTGATAAGTTTGCAAAATTCTATCGGTCACTTTGCCCAGGCGAATGGGTGGACAGATGGAATGAACAAAGAGAGAATGGTACATTCCCAGGCCCTCTGTAGAATGAATGAAGGATTCCAGATGCAAGTTCTTGAGATTATAGTGAGAAACTTAATAACCCATGTTTTTAAACCGAATCGGGTCTGTGTTATGTGACCATTTGACTCCCATCTTTTTTGTAATATTCCATCAAGAGGATCTGATCTGAGTTTCATGATTGAACATGATATGATATCCTTACAAATCATAATAATCCCTTTGTTTTAAAAAAAATTTGAGGAGCAAGAACCTACAACTGATGAGTTAATAACTCAATTAGAAAGTTTAACACTTCAGGAAGAAAATATTCCGTCTCAAATTAATCGTATCTCTAATATGAGAAAAATAAATTTTAAATCAAATAAACCCTATTATCATAGACCATCTCCTGTTGATTTGTTACATGAAAAAGAATTACCCACTAATCAACAATTTGATGGATCATCCATTTATGAATGGAATTTAGATGGATTTAGTGAATACCAAATCCATAAATTAATTCATCATATGCTTATGTGTGTCACGGCTTATGCAGCCAATGATAATAAAGATACAATTATATGTTAAATGCTAGTTAATGGTTTCACAGAACAGCTAAAAGGCTGGTGGGATAATTATTTAACTACCGAAGCAAAATATGCTATTACTTATGCAATTAAAGCTCATCCTAATCAATCTGAGCCTATGCCAGATTTAGTTAATACACTGTTGTATACAATTATTACTCATTTTACTGGAAAAAATAATTTGTATACACATAAAATTCAAGAGCAATTAATTAATCTAAGATGTCAAACTTTATCCCATTTTAAATGGTATAAAGACATTTTTTTTCAAAGATTTATCAAAGAAATGATGGACATCAGGAATTTTGGAAAGAAAAATTTATTTCTGGACTTCCTTATTTCTTTGCAGAAAGAATTAAAAATCGTCTTAAGAATAATAATAATGGGAAAATTCCGTATGATAAGTTGACTTATGGAGATTTAGCATCCGAAGTCATAAAAGAAGGTACGAAATAAAGTTGTAAAAACAAATTCAAAATGAAAAAATCTCAGGGAAAAGAGCCTTGGGAGATTTTTGTGAACAAATGGGTTTTGAAAAAAAAAACAGTTTTCCAAAATCTTCGAAACCCAAAAAGAGAAAATATTTCAAAGAATATTTTAAATGGAAGAAAAAAGATAAATCTTCTTCAAAATATAAAAAACCTAAAAAGGATAAGAAAGTACAAGTTTGTTGGAAATGCAAGAAACTGAGTCACTACGCTAATAAGTGTACAACTCAGAAAAGATTAATAATCTAAATATAAATGAAGGTCTGAAAAGATCTTTATTAAAATCAGTTATATCTGATTCTAATTCTAATCATGAAGATATTTTTGTTTCAGTAATTAAAGAAGAAGAGTTTGAGAATTCTTCTGAAAATAGCGATTCTTCGTCTGAAGATGAAGAAAAAATTATTTCTTCATGTGATGGTAATTGTGACCATTACAAAGCTTTATGCAAAATGAATGGTTTATGTGTTTTAACCAAACAAGAAAATTTTATTTTAGATATTCTTGATAAAATTAATGATAAAAATGAAAAGGAAAAATTTATTTTTAAATATTTAAATCAAATTAGAAATGAGAATCCTGAAAAAAATATTCAGAGTTATAATTTCAAAGACATTATGAATAGTGTTAATAATCCAGTTTCTGGGATTACTACCCAGGACATTACAATTTCAGATTTAAAATCTGAGTTAAATAATTTACAAAGTGTAGTTAAAGAACTAAAAATTCGCATGACATTATTGGAACAAAATAGTTCGAATAATTCTCCTAAAAAGGAGTTTGAAGTTGGAGAATCATCCTTTTCAAAAGAAGATTTTCCACCTTTAACTAATAAAGGTGTTTCTATTAATCTTCTTGATCGAGTAATTACTTATAAATGGTATATTAAGGTTATTTTGATTGTTAATAAAGAATTTATCCTTGATACCATTGCTATGGTTGATTCTGGTGCAAATTTAAATTGCAACAATGAAGGGTTAGTACCTTCAAAATATTTTTCAAAAACAAAAGAAGCATTAAATACTGCTAATAATGCTAATTTAAATGTAAAGTTTAAATTATCAGATATCCAATCCCTAATAAAAAGGATTTATTAAACCGACTATATTCGGCCAAAATAATGTCAAAATTTGTCATGAAATCCGGGTATTGGTAAATTCAAATTGCTGAACCAGATAGGTATAAAACTGCATTTACAGTTTCATTTGGACATTATGAATGGAATGCTATGCCGTTTCGATTAAAGAATGCTCCCTTTGAATATCAGAGAATTATGAATGAAATTTTCAGTCCTTATACGAATTTTATAATTATTTATATTGACGATGTTTTGGTCGAACAACATTTTAAACATCTAAGAATATTTATAAATGTTATTAAAAAAGCATGTTTAGTTGTATCTGCTCCAAAAGTTAAACTTTTCTAAACAGAAATTAGATTCATTGGTCATAATATCAAGGATGGATCGATAATACCTATCGATAGAGCAATTGTTTTTGGGGAAAAATTCCCTAATAAAATTAAAGATAAAAATCAATAAAAAAAGATTTTTGGGTTGTCTGAATTATATTTCAGAATTTTAAGAAAAATTAGCTTACATAGCTAAACCTTTATATGAAAGGTTAAAAAAGAATCCTCCTGCTTGGACTAATGAGCATACTAAAGCAGTCCAAGAAATAAAATAAAAAATCAAGGAAATTCCTTGTCTAGCTTTATCTAATCCGAAAGCCTTTAAAATCGTAGAAACTGATGCTTCGGATATGAGATATGGTGGAATATTAAAACAACGTCTTAAAGACAAGGAACAATTGGTTCGATTTACATCAGGCTTATGGCGTGGTCCAAGAGTAAATTACTCAACTGTTAAGAAAGAAATTCTAAGTATTGTATTAACAGTACAAAAATTTGAATCTGATTTAATTATTCAGAAATTCCTTATCAGAGTAGATTGTAAATCTTTGAAGGAAATATTATTAAAAGATGTTAAAAACATAGCCACTAAGCAAAATTTTGCAAGATGGCAAGCAATCATGTCTATATTTGACTTTGATATTGAGTATATTCCAGAGGAATCAAATTCTTTACCAGATTTCCTTACTCGAGAATTTTTGCAGGGTAAATGTCTAAAAGAGAACCTGCTAAAGGCAAAGGATTTTTTAAAGCTTCTTCAATTTTTTTAAATTGAATTTCCTCAGATAAAGAATTAATAAATAATTTTTTATTTTGTAATTGATTTTTTACAATTATAAGTTATTTATATTGAGGAGTGGTTATAAACTCGAATAAAACATTTGTTCCAGCAATATTACTGAAAATTCTTTTTTCATCTATTCTTTGAATAGGATAAATCATATGTAAAAAAAGGATTTCCCAGAATAATTTTATGGGACAGGTTTTTAACCATTATAAATGGCATTTGAAAACAGACACCTTTAGTACAAATTATTGCATCTGATAATTTAAACTTTACATTTAAATTAGCATTACTAGCAGTATTTAATGCTTCTTTTGTTTTCGAAAAATAATTTGAAGGTACTAACCTTTCATTGATGCAATTTAAATTTGCACCAGAATCAACCATAGCAATGGTATCAAAGATAAATTCTTTATTAACAATCAAATTAACCCTAATATACCATTTATGAATAATTACTCGATCAAGAAGATTAATAGAAACAACTTTATTAGTTAAAGGTGGAAAATCTTCTTTTGAAAAGGATGATTCTCCAACTTCAAACCGTAACGCCCCAACCCACACATTGCATGTAACACATATTTCATACCAAAGAAGTACATATCCATTTACCATTCAGGTCCCTTASTACAAGAATCTACCATGACCAAATACAAGGTCCAAAAATTCAAAATACATATCTTGTACTAATCATTAAAACTATTCATCAAAAGCAATTCCTCATCCAAAATGCATATAAGAAAAGCATTACATCTTTCCCTTTCCCTTACCTTCTGCACCTCCTGCAATACATATTTAAATTCACAAAAACGAGGGTTAAACTGAAGAGTCTAGTGAGATACCCTATTCATGTAATTGCAGGGTGAAGGATCCCCAAAACCTTTATAAAACAACTATTCATAAATAACAAATATATGAATACATAAGATCGTAATACCAAATCATTTTCCCACTTTCCAAGCTAATCACTTAGCTATTCAAATTTTATAACTTTGAACCAAACGGGTTCCATAAAATGCCACTTTTTAAACCTTTTCTCATCAAACGAGGTTTAAACAAAGATTCAGGCCAAACCTGACATTTCCTCCTTAATAACATCCAAACTTATAACAGATGGACACCTCTCCTTGATATGCCACCCTTATAACAGATGGACACCTCTCCTTGATATGCCACCCTTATATCAAATGGACACCTCTCCTTGATATG